ACACACACACACACACACACACACACACACACCCCGAACCCAGGGGCCACCATCTGTAAGAGTCTTCGGCTTCAGCCACGGGTTACAGATTCACTTGTTTTTTCAAGATTACACCTCTGTAAAATTACTTTTTTTCCCTTTGGAATCAATAAACAATTTACTGTGTGATCATCCCGTTCCTTTAGTTTTAGCTTTCACTATCACTTTTCTAGCTCCACCATGTTTATCAGTTGGTATTCTATTAAAGTCGTATATTGCCTTTATTTATATCAATAGAAATTCATGCATTACCAGTCCAGAGTTATACTCTATTACACAAGACCATAGAGTTTGAAGCTCAATTGGGAGGTCTCCTTTAATGTATTCCCATCAGTCTTAATACCACCATCCTGGTGCCACAAGCAGTTTCAAAGTCTCATGGTCTTTTCCTTTCCCCTAGCTAGCTAATGCTTGAAACACTGACAAATACCATCATGTTCCTCGGGTGCTAGCCCGCCAGCGGAACCTTGACGCCTCTCTATTCGGTCGGAGAACAGCGCAGAGGACCAACCTTTTCCGGCTCTGGCCGGAAGTCCGTTGGAGGGGGGCGGTTCTGTGTCAGGTGATCGGCGTTTGCGTAGGAGGGACCCCAGGTCTGGCCGGACTGAGTAACCCAGTCGACCGGCTGGCTGACGGGTCGACGGCCGGGTAGGTGGTGGACCCTTCGGAGGCGTTACCTGAGCTGAGGTAGGTTCATGAGCGTTTTGAGCGGCAGTTACAGCCGGTTATGTTTGAGGGACGGGGGCGAGGAACCGGATATGTGCCTTCACCCCAACGGCGGGCTGCGATACCTGAGCGCACGGACTCGGAGACTACGAACCTCGCTCTGCTCTGGGCCCTGTGTCCCAGAAGGGAGATTGGGCTGGCGTCTTGACCTTTCATTGTGTGATTACAAAGGGGTGAAGAGGCCCCGAGAAGGGAAAAGGGTCCTACCAACTATCCTTTCTAGGCTGGTACTCGTCCGAACTCTTGCCGTCTCGCTCTTGGGGCCGTTTCTTTGATATGGAGGTGCTTCTCATGAGTTTGCCCCGAGTGGAGATCCCGAAGCCCAGAACACAGCTGAGCTTGAGCGTAAGACCTGGGTTCGAGATTCCGGTACCAACAGGGGCTGTGCGTTTGAGCGACGTGCTTTCTCGGTGCAGTGTTTCTCAAATGCCGTCTACTTTTAAGTGCCCTGGTGGGCATGTTTTGCTGTGCGACGCTCAAGTAAGACCTCTGATTTATAATCTGTGTAGAAACCTGGGAAACTGCTATTGGAAAGTCCTCCCAGGGCTCCTATACACGCTGGCATTTGAAGCCCACTGCGAGTAAGTGCTTTCCTGCTGTGAGGACTAGATTATCTGTTCTTTGCCTCGTGGCAGCTGGAGTGATTCAGAGTCTTTGAAAGAATGGGGATATTTAGCCCATAAAAGAGCACTGGAAAAAAATTTTCTTTACAAACTGAAAAAGGTTTTACATAGTCTTTGGGACTGAAAGTGGCAAATCTAGGACTACTAGAGGGATACTTAGGGGAAGGCATGATTTTTACTAAATAGGAGAATTTAATGCAGGTAGGAGGTGGCCAGCAGTAGATTGGATTGTCTCTAAAGGTAGTGAACTCTGTGTGGGAGGTACACGGGTATGTAAGATGGTCCTTTCTAACCTGAAAGTATCTGATTTTCAGTGAGACACTTGGAATCTTTCTGTGCTGACTCTGCCCTCAGAATAATCATGAATTCTTTTTCCTGCCCTCTTCTTAACACCTCCATCCTTTAGTTAATATCTAAAAACCTAGTGTAATCTCATTCTGCTGTGTACCACCCCTCCTTTCTAGGACTTTGAAATGGCCCATCAAATGAGGGGTCCTTAAATGTTTGCTGAGTGAATAACAAAGCAGGTTCTCTACCCAATTTGGTTGTAGCTCGTTTTCTTAGCATCTTCAGATTTTGTGTTTGGTGGGAAGAAGCGTTTGAACTCTGTATCACAGAACTGAGGCATCATAGTCAAAAGGGCCCCTTGTGGTTATTCAGAACAACCTTTCCTCCCTGGAACATAAAGCCCTCTTTAATCCTTTTTCCAGTAGTTTGTTTATTGTACAATTGTCATGTCTGAGGAGAGTATTTTTGTTGTTGACTAACTTTCAACCCAGCATATACAACTAGTACTTTATTTTGTGAACTTGCCAGTTCATCACTTTTACATTAATCTGCAGATGTTTCCAGCATTTTTAATTTTCTAAGTATCAGAGTTCTTTGTGATTTACAGAACTTCAGATAGATAATTTTTTTCAAAACCTGTTCGAATGCTTACGTTGCCATGTGGAGTAGATTATGAGCCATATTATGAGCCAACTCTGCTGACATACCTACCTATGGCCCCCAAAAAGAAAAGCCACCTGGGTTGAGTCAAGACTTCCTGTGTTTTCATGCCTGTTTTTATCTACTTGTTTGTGTTTACTAAAATTTTTTTTTTAAGTTTTGAAATGCTTCTTCAAATATCCAAATGTTAGGTAAAATGGTTTTCATTTGATGATATCTTTAAAGCTTCTTAATCTGAAATTTTTTTTAAAAAAAAAACTACCTAAATCAGGGTCTCCCTTATGGCCTAGGAGTTAAGTCTCAGTGCTATCATCTTTAAAGCCTGAGTTCAATTCCTGGCCAAGGCACTAATCCACATATGGTACATGCAGCAGAGCTCTCCTGTCTTGCCTGTTCTGCTCCCCACTCTGTCTCTGGTGAATTCTCTCTCACATACATACACCCCACCTCTGGCCTACAGCCCAGTTCTTCTATGTATGCATGTATATGCGTTACATTACAGGTACTAAGATGACGTGCAATAAGGAAATATGCCTAATCTTGTTACTGAGACTTGTGCAGCCAAATGCATTTGATTTTTTTTTTTTTTTTTTTGGCACACTGGCGAATTCTGACCTGAAACCGGAGACTGCAACCAGTGCCCTGGGGGCCACATCCGGCCCCAGTGCCTGTTTTTGCTTGGCTTGTGACCTAGGATTGGTTTTTATAATTTTAATTGGGAAGTAAATCAAAAGGAAGATGATTATTTTGTGATTTGTGAAAATTACTGGAAAATCAATTTTAAATGTCCATAAATTTTATTTTATTTTGGAATATAGCCTTACCTATTTATTGTTTTGGGTAATAGAGTTGGGTAATTGCCCCAAATACCAGTCCACAGTTCACTCTATGTATAGCTCTTTACAGAAAGAAAGACCCTGACCTGCATCATACATTTTTTAAACTTCTTATTTTTCATTTGCATTTTTTAAATTTATTTTTTTATGCATACAGAACTGGAGTATAGGCCAGAGGTGCAGGGGTAGTGAGAGAATTCACTAGAGACAGAGTGGGGAGCAGAACAGGCTGACTGATAAAGAACAGTGCTGAGGGGAGTAGCAGGCAGGTCGGGAGAGGTCTGCTGTGCCATGTGGGTCACCTCTAGGGCAGGCAGGGATGGAACTCATGCTGAAGTGGCTTTAGCTTCTTTGTGCTATGCTTTAACCTTCTGCGCTACCAAGGAGGGCCCTCATTTGCATTTATTTTATATTGAGGTAGTATTGCATCACAGCAGAAAGTTCAGGGGTATAAAATGAACTTGTATATAAACTACATTACATTCACTACTAAATTCAACTTTTTTTTTTAAGATTTATTTATTTATGCATACAGAACTGGGGTACAGGCCAGAGATGCGGAGGGTGAGAGGATTCACCAGAGACAGAATGGGGAGCAGAACAGGCAGATCGACAAAGTACACTGCTGAGGGGAGCAGCGGGCAGGTCAGGAGAGGTCTGCCACGCCATGTGGTCACCTCCAGGGCAGGCGGGGATCGAACTCATGCGGAAGTGGCTAAGCTTCTTAGTGCAGTGCTTTAACCCACTGTGCCACCAGGGAGGGCCTAAATTCAACTATTTTAATGAAAGACTATGAGCAGGATTAGAAGATGTGTCTTGATGGTATTTACTATTGTGGTTCCTATATTTTGTTTATTTTTATAGATTTTGGATATTTATAAAAATTCAGTGAAAAAAAATCTGTTCCAGAAATCCTGTTTTGAAAGTTTCTTAATTTCTGGTTTTTTGAGAGAGCTCCTTTACTGAGAAATGGACATTTTATAATTCTCTTTTTCTTTATTTTTTTATAGAATTGTTACATCTTTTTTCCTCCAGTTTTATTGATTTACCAACTATTTACTATATAATTTTCGGATTGCAGTGTCACACCTGCTAATCGTCTTTTACTTTCTGGCTTACTTTGTGAAGTATAACCAAGATTATCCATTTTGTCCTAAAAAACACTATTTCATCTTTTTTTAATAGCTAAATAATACTCCATTGAGTATATATGCCACAATTTCTTTACCTAATCTGACTGTAGGCAATTAGGTTGTTTCTGTGATTTGGCTGTTGTGGATAATGCTATGAACATAGGGTGCATAGATCGTTTTGTATTAGTGTTTTCATCTTCTTTGGGTAAATACCTAGCTGGATCATGTAGTATTTCCTTTTTCTTGAGGGAGAAGAAGAGGAACCCCTGTATCATTTTCCAAAGCCTGCACCAAGATAATTCCAATGACACTGCATGAGTACTCCTTTTTTTCCATATCCCCATCAACATTTGTTGTTTGCAATTCTATTTTTCAGTGAATCTATCTTAAAGCTTCAGCTTCTCTTGAAAATCTTTTTATTTTGAAATAAAAATTTCACAAGTATAATACACAAACTTCCTATGTACCTTCACCCAGTTTCCCAATGAAACATTTTATATAATCAGATTAAAATGACCTAAACAAGGAATTTAATATCAATATAATACTACTAACTAGACTACAGACTATTCACCACCCTGGCCAGGGATCTAACTCATGCTTCAGTGGCCGCAGGTAACTTCATAGTGCTGCTCTTTAAACCCCCTGTGCCACCAAGGAGTGTCCCCCTTGAAGCCCTTTAAAGTATCTAAGAATGAACTAAACTGCAGAATTGAGTTAGTGCTGATCTCTCTCTGATCTGCATGTAGTTGGGTTTAGACATGCCAAAGCACAAAATTGTTCATTTGAAATTGCTGACCATAAAGAGCTGGGTGAGCATGGTCATCCAAGCGGTCCTGCAGGCTCATCTAAGATGTGATAAGACCCAGGGGACCTGCATTTGGGAGCTATTCTGATATTTGTCTGGTCACAGGCAAGATGTAGGAGTTGGTGGTAGTTTGGAATGCTGGAGACTGGCCATAGCCTTGGGCAGCTGCCTTGATAGCAGACAAGCTGGTGTACCCAAGTCTCTCTTGACCCTGTAGCATTTGGCTGTAGCCAGACCATCTTTTACATACTATTTTTTTTTAAACAGTAACTTTATTTGTGAAAGTAATGTATGCCCATTTTAGACATTATGGAAAAGACAGAAACCCCCCTTTCTCTCCCATCCCAGACACCTTTAGATTCATTATTTAAAGGGTTTTTTTGTTTTTTTGTTTTGTTTTGTTTTTAAGATTTATCTGTTTATGCTTACAGAACTGGGGTACAGGCTAGAGGTGTTGTAGGTGAGAGGATTCACCAGAGACAGAGTGGGGAGCAGAACAGGCAGATTGACAAAGTATACTGCTGAGGGGAGCAGCGGGAGGATCAGAAGAGGTCTGCCATGCTATATGGGTCAGCTCTCTGGCAGGGGATCAAACTCGTGCTGTAGTGGCTTC